CCCGTCCATTTCGGGTATTTCTTGCACGAAAACGCTCGCAATGATATCAGGTAGTTAATAGTGAGAGAATCACCACTCATAATTACATCAATATCTATATCCTAGTATTAGAAAGGCTGGCCTGCTCGCCTAGCCAGCGGGGTGGTGTCAATCAAGGCTAAAACAGTGCGAACGGAATCGTGAGCATTGTGGCCAGCAACCTTACAAACGTTTGTTAGCCTGGCCAATCCAGGTAATCCAGGTAATTAAAATAGCAACGTGCCGATCCATCCCGAGCAAATATTGATTTGCATGAGATACAATTAAAATCAACTCACAATTTGAGCACGGATATGCAGTTGTGATTGTTCAATTATCTTAGTGATGGAGGCTCGTGACACCACCTGACTGTTTGGAATGCTCTGGAACGACAGCAGTAAAAATTCTAGAAATGAAAACATGCACAATCTTGGGAAACTTCAGTAATCACAAGGCTGAAATTTATTTTGCTCGATATATTTTTTGAGTTTTCAAAAAACATCTTAGGAACTTCATTATATCGTGCATCAGAGAGCTGAAGCTCTGTTTACAATAAACCCGTTGAATGAGCGATGAATGCCTATTCAACTATATTGGTGTTATTGACTTTGAATGTGAAAAGCTGTCATATGTTCGTGAATGTATTGAATTTGTAGGCAGAAAACTTACTTCCTCAGCTTGGGGATTTGATTCCAGGAATATCTTTAAAGCTGATGCCTGATTTTCGCGCTGATTCCCTTCAGTCACCCACTGCTGCGCCGAAAGTATCTGCTTTGCCCTGTAAATTTCATATCCAAGGATATCAAAAGTATTTATCAAAAAATTGAAAAGCACCCTAAAGGACCATGAATGTAGTGACATTCAAAAGATCTGCAAATACCTCAGTTGCTTTGTGGCATTTGCCTGTTGACGATGCCTCTCGTAAAGGCTTCTTCTTTCCTTCAATTGACTGACAATGAATTCAATAGCTGTCTTCGGCTGTTTGTCATTTACTGAACCAGATTGTACTGGGTTGCTTGATTCCACGGCTTTACCCGGATTCGGCTGATTTGTGGTAGTTCTACTAGCAAATGTCCTTCGTATAATTCTCATAGCCAAAGGAGATGCTAGTACGTTGTCTTCAAATTGTTCCCTGTCCATTTCAAGCCACTTTTTCGTGGTATCCCGAACGATTTTACTAAACGCATCTTCGGGGTTCATTCGCTCAGCACAATACCGATGAAACCCCTAAAATTCAATGAGTATTCTTATCACTCAAAGTCGAAACCTTTATTTATTTGGCTCCGTATAGATCACATTTGTTTTCCATGATGAATTAGTTGTTAATTTCAAGTATTTTTGACACGAAAACGCTCACAATGACGATCAGCTAGCTGACGTCGAATGGATCAGACCCATATAATAAATGTGTAGATTCTATGATTCAAGGCGGAAAATTTCGTTTCATTTTGAGCAAAATTTATTTTGCGAAAGATTTAACTAAGCTTGACTCACAATCTGAGCACGGCTATGAAATCGCAGTTCTCCAAGAATCTTTTTGACAGAGGTTTTTGATACCACACTTTTTTGAGGAAGGCTCTGAAATGAGAGCAGTAAAAATTCTAGAAATGGAAACATTCACAGTTTCGAGAAAGTTTAGATCTTGTGAATTTGAAATTCAAAACTTGAATAAGTAATAATTCATGTTCCAGTCAGGTTTTGTGCCAGCAAAAAATCATTTTGGGAATTTTATGATGTAGTGAAGCAGTGAACTGATGCTTTATTTACTATCGATCCAATCACTAAGAGGTGATTAAGAATCGAACCGTAGTGATATTATTGATTTTTAATGTGAATATTTATTGTATGCTCGTGGATACACTGAACTTCTCATGCAAATTACTAACTTTTTCAGCTTGGGGGTTTGATTCAAGGAACGCTTTTAGAGCTGATGCCTGATTGTCACGATGAATTTTTTCGATCATCCACTGCGTCCTCGAAAGTGACTGCTTCGCGCTGTGAAAATATAGTAAAATTATAGTATTATTTAAAAGTAATTATTAAGATCCTAAAACACTATGTAAGCGGCGATAAATATCGTAACGTCAATGTCTATTTGAATTGATAAGATGACCTTCAAGAAGGTTGTAAATACCTCAGTTTTTCGTCATTTGTGGCATAAACTTTTGCCTCTGCGGCACATGCTTTTTGACGGAGCGTCTGCAAAAGATCCCTTCTTTCTTTTAATTGATCAACAATGAATTCAATTGCGGTCTTTGGTTGTTCGTTATTTCCTGAACCAGATTGTTTTGGGTTGCTTGATTCCATCAGTTTATTCGCATCCTTCGAACTGCTCTCCATTTCTTTCTGAAAACCATATAATTAATTAGCAAGCCAGCTATTCATTTACAGACCATTTGTAGTGCACTGTAGTCTAATTGAAATCGAGGAAAGTAGCCGAATGTATGATTATATTCTAAAAAATTAATTTTGTGGTCAGGTCGACTGTCCAAATCACACTCTTGACAATCCATTGAATCTTAAACTTCACTTTCCGTATGTTTGCTCTCGTAATGCATAAGGAAGAATTTCGAACACAGTCCAACCTTTGTAGGCGGTCCAGGATTTATCAATGACGATTGCTGGACCACTGCAGAGGACTGCTTATCTTTCAGTTCCGAATTTCCGGTCGGGAATTCCTTAGTGTGAGTTTTTTGAGATGATTGCACATCTGCAGCTGGCGGTACGTGATTTTCTGCCACTTTAGGGCAAGTTGATGGAGAATAAGCATCCAAAACTGACAATACTTCCTTCGACAATGCGACGTTCTCATTGAAATCCCTTTCTTTCATATCCAGCTTCTTCCTGATCTGCTCCTTCTCATCTTTAGTCCCATTCTCATTGCAAGCATTGACGCAACTCAAATAAAATGCCTAAAAGATTCATATGTTTTTAAAGTTAAATAAAGGCAAACGTATGTACTCGATTGAGTCTTGCGCCAGGAAATCATTCTTTGTCGAATAAATCACGTCTATAAGCTGATAACGCGTCAGCTGATATCAATAACTGATCAATGCCGGTGGCTTAATCAGAAATAAGTGTCATGAAGTATGAACCACTATTGGAATAATGGATCTCCGGTGACAACCCACCAAATAGGAGCGAAGTTCACTGCTCAACTTCCTCAAGATTCTCGACGTCTCTTCATAAGCATACCTTGATGCATAACACCCCTGAAATGAAACACAACGGAATTTTGGGTGTAACAAAAATAATAATTTATCTCCATTACAAGTTCACTGCAAAATTTTGGTTGATGCAGGCCACTATTGCTTACAGAAAATTTGGTTGGCCTTGCAAATTTGGTACAGACTAAACCTTTGGGAGGTTAGCAGCAAATTCTGCCATTATTTTCGTATATTGTTCTCTTCCATCCATTTGCTGTTTTCGTTGGTGTCTCATCAAGGCAACCATTGAAGAGTTATCGAGGCTGCAATTAGATGAACTTTGGGAGTGAATGTTACGCGCTATTGACTGCCATTGTTTCAGCGGTTAAACTGGACTTAAAAGAAATCATTTCTCTGCAACTCCAAGACTGGCCAGCTTCGGCGCATCCGTTGACCGTTATCTTGGTAATTTTTCTCAAAAAACTCTAATTCTTTTTTATATGTTCAAGATGAGTGAAGCATTAGCGAAAGCAACATACAATTGGATTGCTGCTTGACATTCTTTCCGATGTGACTGAATCATCTTCAAACGTTCACACAACAATTGAGTAATCAGATCAATTGATGTACCAGCAGTGCCTTCCGGTTCACCTTGAACTTCAGCTAACTGTTTTGTGCTGTCCACTGAGTCAGCCTTCATTTTCGGAGCCTCAAAATGTTCCACGTTAATCTCATCAGTACGACCTCAGAAACAATTTAGGGCCAACACATCTTAATTGCTTATTCCAAATGATTGATCACATTTCAAAAATCCAGATGTCTTTTGATTCCTAACAAGCAATCAAATCCAATACATTTCCCATTCCCACCTTGCAAGAATCATTTTGCGAAAATACCAAAGCTTTTTTCGAACCCTTCTTTCCATTAGTCTCCTGAACTTCGGCCAACTGCTGTAATTCAACCTTCTCTTTCGGAACCTTAAAATGTTCCACGCTATTCTCCACAGAGCAACCGTCAGAAACAACTTAGAGCAATCATATCTGCATTTGCTTACACCGAATGATTATTCATGTTTTGATAATTACCAAGCAATCAACTCCAGCAGATTTCTCAGTCACACCGTCGAAGTATTATCTTGGGAGAATGGCAAAAGTTCGATCTGACCTCTTCCAGTGATC